AGGTTAGGATTTGACCCCCAATGGCATGCACATATCTATACTACTTCCCTAGCAGTTCCAATAATATTATCAAGGTATAACATTCAATGCAAACAAGAGTATTAGTAGCCCAGATAAAAGGAATTCCAAACAGTTTCCTTGGCAGCAAGGTTATTTCCCACACAGATATATACTACATACTTTTTACAATGTAACATTAGATTTAAGTCCGTCATTAAAAATATTTTGGGAGGAATTTCACCTATGTTGTTGAGCGATTGAATTAAAAGATAACAGGTCTCCATATCTGCCAGCCTTAAGTCTAATCAGTTAATACTTTATACCCCTCCCGCGGCAGTTTCCATTCAAAAAAGGAACAGATATTTGCGGTATTAGCACAGTAGTGTTAAAATAAATGATGACCAATTCGGGACAAAAACTGAAAGTTTGGATACAGTGTTGATTCTCTTTCATTAGAATGGTATGTGCCACCCACTGTCAAATACACAGACAATATTGTCAACATGGTGACACTTCTGCTTGGTGACACATGGAACATGTGCTTGGGCAGTAACCTTTATTAATCTGCATAGTGTTTTGGTATCACTTTTAGCTTCTAGGAAAAATAGAAATTCATTTTCTTTTTCTGTACATCCCTTCTTCTAAATATGAGCACATGATGAAGTGTCATTACATAATTTATTATGTGCTAAATATAATATTTAAATATATATATTATAATCAAATTAATAATAATAAGGATTAATTAGAAATGATTAAGTTATACTGAGCCATTTCATATTATTTTTTCCACCTTCTTAATACAAACAGAATCCTAATATGCACTGAAATATCTTGAAATTCTTGAATGTGCTTCAAATGTTGTCATAACCCATGTGCCTTCAAATTTAGAATTAAAACTTCACAAAACTAGTCCAACTCTGGTCATTCTTGCTAGCCAGAGATGAACAAACTCCAAATATAAATTCCCTAAATATTGACAAAAGCCAAGGGTATGCCAAAATGCTGTTTAATTAGTTATTACCTACAGTGGTTTCATGTCACATCTGACATGTATTTGCTTGACCCAGCTACCAATGACTGTCCCTGAACAAACTGTTGGTCTTTGGTACTGTCTAGCAAGGTTAGAAGTTTTATATTTTTTACAATAAAAAATAATTTCAAAATGACATCATTACTCACATCAATTCATCATTCAGGTTCAAATCACCTTTCTAAGCTGGGCGTCACTGCCTTCTGCTATTAGTTTCATAAATAATTCCCTCCTTGGCTTCTGAATGAAATCGCATCTAGTTAGATAAACTTTCAACTCTATGACTGATAACAGTTTTGCGAGAAAAAAACATGGTACTTGGCAATGCTCTCATTTGTTCTCTTATATTTCTTTGCAGAATAGTAAAAACACTTAATGCATGATAATAAATTGGAAAACATACATAAAGCGGCAGCTCACAAGGGGTGTGGTAGAGGACCTCAACCCAGTTTTTACCAAAGCCCTGATTACATGCCAAAAGGTGCTATCTGTTGCTATCTTGACTCATATTACCACACTTCAAACCCCTATACTATTTCCAACCACTGGCAGTGACAGGAACTAATCTTTTCATCAGATTTCCTTGAAAGAATCAAGCAAAGAACTGTAAAAATTTCAAAACAGTGACATGTTACTTAATGACTTTGCAAAAGTAGTCAAAAAATAAAAATAAATAAATAAATTAGGCCATTCTTTCCCAAACTTGCCAATCGCCATCAATTCTGACCACCTTATTGAGCGAACCAGTTGCTCTCCATGAATCGTACAAAAATTTTTGTCGAGGGAATACATAACAATCAAATCCCTCAAGAAGGAGATACTACTCCTAGCCTGATGAAGTACATACACAATGTTTCACAAATAAAGAACCCTCCATTGTGTCCACAAGAAAATACCCTTGGCCAATTTTTTAAAACAGAAATAAAGACTTACTAAAGTATCCTAGATCTGAATGTCCTTCCGTGGTGCAATCATTCTCAAGCACTTCAACGACACAAGATGGCAACTCAGTCCCACTGAAAAAAACCCTGCGACTGCACCACCTTTCGTGATGTACAAAAACCAACTCAAGCTTTTCTGTACTTAAAAAAAAAACACCCTCTCCCCAGAACAAATTCTCCTCCATACATACTGCTTAAGATTATAGATCACATCTTGGTTGACAGGTACATTGTTTGCCTGTGCCACAATATTACTTTGTTGTGTGTAAACTCTAGAGTTTCGATTACATATTATAAGGAGAAAGCCAACGTGATAGCATGCATAAATGGCGCCTAAGATTGATTTCATAAAAAAAAGTACATACTTCTCAATTCAATATAGGCCAGGTAGCCACACCTGCGTAATGCTCAATAGTTTACGTATTATGTACATGCTTGACTAGTGCCCACCTTAACTCCCAACAGTTGCCCAGCTTACAGCTTCACTCCTAACGTCCCCTGAGCCCCCAATCCACTTCATACCGTATTAACCAATAAGTCTCCCTGAATACTTCTTAAAGTCCTAAATTCACCTACCTGACTGGTACCTTGCAGGCATCCTTATCAAGAGGGAGAAATAGAGAGGGGAGAGCTATTAGGCCTCCTTATGAAGTCGTTCTACCACAAAAGCCGATATTTACACAAGACCAGGTTAAAGAAAAGCCTGCATGACGCTTGACTGCTGATTCCTACCTGTCACACTGTTTATCCCATAGCTCACCGATGATTTCAATAGTTATTTTAAGAATCGGCAGCCAAGACAGACCCAATTCTTATCTCTGCATTGAGAGCAATGTTTTGCGGTCATGGAGAAAAAATCCACGCTCGATTTTTCACCACCAAATTATCCCTTAGTCAGCTCCGAGTCATCATATCTCTGAACAGGTAGTAGTTATGGTTTCTGAATTCCACGTCACTTTAGCCTTGAAGTAGCCTATCACAACCTTGTTGATATAACATAAGTTCCTGTGATGTGCAAACACAGAGGGACAAAGATGAAGTGACTGCTATGGACTACCCTGGTGATTTACAGCCTATTTATTCACTGTTAAAATTCCAGCTCTTTTCAACCTCCCGTCAAGTAGACGATAAGGAAGTGGTCAATTGTATATTTGTATATGTAAAGAAAGTCCGGAGACTAATCAATCAGTCTCATTTGCATACCCCCAAGAGAGAGAGCATCACTTTCAGTCTCTGACTGAAAGGGAACATGTTTCTTGCTTTTGAAATAGGTAAAAATTTATCCACAAAAGCACATATGCAAGTTTGCATCTAAATTCCTACATGGTAAAACATTGTTGGCTGTCATTTCTTACTTGATACTGATTGAAATATCTTACTGCTTGAAAGCTTTATTCTGAATTTAGGTTAATTTGAATGTGTATCATAGACTAGGTGATTAAACAGTCATGCCTCAGTTTATAAAATAGCAATATTATTCCATTAAAGCAACCAGTAATGTTCTCTATAATCATTTAGATATGGCAATCGTGGTCCATTCTGCCTATAAATAAAAGCATGTCTGTAGTGCCTTTCCATATAATTATACTGTATAAATGTTTAATATTAAGATAAATAAAAACATTGCCATGTATTCCAACCTGCATTCAATATTGCATGAAGAATCCAAATTTTGGGACGGCAACTTTATATAATTAATCATCCATGTCAACTGGGTTTATTTAAAATACAAGTTTCATTGTAAGCTCGCAATAGTTCTTGTACCATGCAGACTGACATAACTCATAGGAATATCATGACTTCATTCTCTCAATAAATTATATGGTGACATCTGGGACCTTGTGGAAATAAAAAAATAAAACTTTTCATATTTTTGACATCCAATACAAATGTGGTCTGTTTTGCACATCGAGAGTTACGTGTCTGGAATAAAATCTCCAACTAAATGTTTTCTTAAGCTGGTGAATTTGCAAGAAAGAATTTTAAGGTGCTCGAAAAAGACCTTCAAGTTTCCTTTTGAAAATACATTTAAGTTAGCATAGCAAACAAACTGTCGCTTTGAAGCTCGCTAACAAAGAGAAGAAAAACTTAATTTACAACTGAACCATTGTGATTCGCTTTCCTAATGATCTAGCAGGTAAACATTTACAAGAAATATTGTCTTCCTTTATATTCAGCCTAAAACAACAGATAAGACCACCGAGAGTAAAGAGTATTATTTAATACAATAAAGCATTGTGTCATAAGTCACAAAAGACAAAACAAACATTTTCAACTGACGCACAATTTGATCCATTTCCATTAAATAAACGGCCCATATGATTAGCCTGAAAAACTTCAGTCTCAATGGTTTTGTAAGGATGTAACTGTAAAAGCTGAAAACTGAATTTTTAACGAAGAAAGCAATGACCAAATTCTGAAATAAAATTTCACTTTGAATTTAAAAGCAATACTTGTAGGCCTTCTTGTTGTTCATGAATAAAATCATCAGAAATCAATAACACTAAAATAATCAAATGAATATATTATTACATTGGAAGAATGAAACAACTGCTGATTTATTCGCAAAGACAACAGACTGCGCTTTATTTTTGATAAATGTTCATTTCTACAACTACTGCATACATTAACATCGTATGACACTTTTTTAATGGTTTACAGATCCATCACTTCATATCCATCTTTATTTTCAACTCATTTATATACAAAGAAATTAAACAGACACTTGTCTGTCCTGACTGTTCCCCATGTCTAGGCTTTCTCATCACATCTTGCCAACACCTTCATGACCAAATTCAAACCCGTCCCCACCTACCCCACCTTTCATTTTCTTTTTTTCATGCCTCGTCGTCAAACTCACAACCCAGCATTAAAGAAGAAAATAAACTAACATTTCCTTTTACACACATGGCTATATCTCAAGCCACTTTTCAATTACTATTTTTCATTGTTTTTTTTTTTTTTTTTTTTTTTTTTTTACTTTTTTCACTGAATTATCCGCATGTATATGTAAGCTGTCTACTTACGCTTCTCAATCTTTTTTCTATCTCTTGCTTGATTTGGTCCGTACTGAAAAGATACAAAGAGACAAAATACTTAATGATGAAATATACAGTAGTGATCACATGGTAGTTAAATCATGTTTTTTCCTGGTTCAATTCACAATTTCCTCAGAAATACAATGGATACTTCAAAAGGAAATGATAACACTCATAAAAGGATATAATACATCAGCATTCCAACCATCCAATGAGCTAAATAAAAATTAGAAAAAAAATCTAATACTTAAGAGACAAATCTTTGTTACAATTCAACCCTTTATGGCACTTAGAAAATTCTGCCTTTAAATTGATTCAAAATTCAAATGTACTTGTTCCAAATTAAAGTTTTAAGATTACATACATCTATTGCCCTGCAAAATGTCCGATGGGAAAAATTATCATGTGGAAGATGGCTTCATCACAGATAGGAGAGGTATTATTATTCCACAATAAGCAAGATAACTCCTGCATTATCTAATGGTATTAGGTCCAGGGCGTCTCAGGTATGACATCTTATTACCAAATATAAGTACAAAATCCCTTTATAAATGACCCATTTGCAAACTCACTGAGATCAAATCAAAAATATTGATCGCAAGAAGTGACACAGGTTCACACTCTATGCGGTCACACGTTTAAACATCCATTTTTATTGTCTTTATCTTTCTAAGCATCTCCGTAATCTTTAATCTTGGATGTATTTCATCATGTAAGAACTGTACTTGATAGCAAAACATGATGCTCTGTTTGCAGGTGTTTAGACAAAGGTGAGAAGGTTGTTGTCATGTGATGATATGTAGAAAAGATTGGGGACGTTATCCTGTTTTATCAGTGTTACACAGGCAGTTACATTTCACACAGCCTGGAGATGGACCCCACATATCCTCAGCCATGTAAGAGGATCTTGAACTAAAATATGTCATCATGTTCACATTATGTTAATGATAGATCAGAACCACTTTATACCTTCCTTTCCACCACCAACACCACTGCTGACCACAAACATACACATTTTAAATAAAATAACTTGATAGATATTGCTTTTATGTTGGCCGTCCCCTCAATGGTGTATCTTTACTAAAGCATTCTTCAAAATTTTCACCCATAAACCTTAATTCAATTCCATTTTCTGTAATGACCATAATAGTTTATCTTAAATTTCTTCATCTCGTACAGCAATAAATATTCTAATCTACCTTTATCCAAAAATGTGCACATCTTTGCACCAGGAAACATGAGAATCCCCTAAAAGCCTCTTCATCAAAATGAGAACCCTCACCTCTTCCTAGGGTAGGCTAACTTAACACCACCTATTGACGGAGAACAGGAGACAGTCATGTATTCCAAAGTCACTAAGTAACATGAATATCTTCACTTAATGGTCAAAACAAATGCTCTTACCTTAGACCTCACAGTCAAGGAGTAATGGGAGACACCTTAAACCCACTTCACCCATGAAATGACCTTATCCACAATGAAAAGCTTCTCATTAGCCTGTAATTATCTCAACCACAATCAGGATTAAATATACACAGAACTTTTATACTAAGGAAACACTCTTTGAAACCCTCTTACCTGAGAAGTCACGTTGTGGTGCCAGGGGGGAATGGGGGGGGGGGGGGGGAGGGCTTCATGTTGCTTGGTGAATGATTTGAATATATATGTTGACTGGGTAATGAACATTCTCTCTCTCTCCCTCTCTCTCTCTCTCTCTCTCTCTCTCTCGTTTTGTGCAAGTGTGTGTTTGGAGCAAAGTATGCTAAATAAAATGATCAAACTAATTCCAAGTATAATGCGCATGACAGCAACCAAACAGTTAGTTTCTAAAATAATACTGCACCATCTGCCGGCAAGATTCCATTGCATAATGCAAAAAATTCACCTTCAGCCTGCCCTGTAATGCCATTTTAATGACATATCACAAAGATGGTATGTAAAAGAACCAGATTGATGGCACTATTTCCAGGCTAATGCCTCTGTTCCATATATATAAATGTGTTCACTGTGTAAATCATGTAACATTACGGACATTGAAATCTCACTGTGCAGCGAGGGAACTGTTTAATCTCATCTGCATACCGATGGTTTATTTACTGAATGCGACATTCAGTGTCCTGCATAGGCAATTTCTTCTTTCAAATTTGTTCAAAGAACAATCAATTCTTCTTTTATTTGCATAGCTCAATTGTTTCAAACATTTTTGTTTTATTTACAAAATTTATAGTTTAAATTACATATAAAATACATTGTCTGACAAAAACCATAACTCCCTAATATTCAAAATTTCCTATCAAACTTTCTACTTTGAAAAATAAATAAAATAAATTTGTTCAAAATTACAGGGAGATTACCATAATCTGGTACACCCTATGCCCTCACCTTAATACACCAAATGTCTACCTACGTCAGTCTGATCCACCTGAGATATGACAATTATTTCATGCCTTTGGTCATCGGGGCGTGTCAACGTATAAGCCCTGAAGTTGAGTTGTCTACCAAAGATAAGATTGGAACCGCCTACTACAATCTTTCTAAGACCACAAACACTAACATTTTAATCAAACAGGATATTAAACATAAGTCACCAGTTTGGTGAGAAATGTCTGCTATTTATGCTCTGACCTCTCCAGGGAAAACATCATCATCATAAATAATATCCTTGTAGAAGATTAATCAGTAATGCAGACTTTTTCTCAGAATATTAATTTTGCAAAAAAAAAAAAAAAAAAAAAA